TATACTCCTCTGTCAGTGTAGATGAAATTGGTCAAAATCTTAAAAAAAAGCACTATTATGTGCAGGAGGATAAAGTGACAGATCGACATGGAGACAGCAGGACTGCATGAGAAATTAGCTCACACTAAGAACCCTCAGGCACAGACTGAATAAATATGAGAGACCAAATTCTTAAGACGGTTGTTGCGAGACTGATTTTAGGGTTGCTTATATGTCAGCTTTGAGCACAGAATAATTACAGGTAATGCTAGGTTACTTTAAGTGGTTGTGAAGGCGTTCTGTGAGCTTCAGGGAAGGAGCTCATAAGCATGCTTCACTACCCTTTGTTCTTCCAAGGGGTCCACAAAACCTTGCAAAAGCTTTTTTTTTTTTTTTTTTCTTTCCCCACAAGCAAAAGAGAATTACTAAGCCATAAATCTGGCATTTCCTTCTGTATTTAAGCTGACTAACCTTAACTTTATTTCTCATTCTATCTTCTTTCCTAGTCACTTGTTTGTTCATATAGACTTTAGTACAGTTTTGAACCTCATGTGTTGGTCTTAGAATCATAGAATGGTTTGGGTTGGAAGGGACCTTAAAGATCATCTAGTTCCAACCCCCCTGCCATGGGCAGGGAAACCCTCCACTACACCAGGTTGCCCAAAGCCTCATCCAACCTGGCCTTGAACACTTCCAGGGATGGGGCATCCACAACTTCTCTGGGCAACCTGTTCCAGTACCTCACCACCCTCAATGTAAAGAATTTCTTTCTTATATCTAACCTAAATCTACCCTCTTTCACTTTAAATCCATTACCCCTTGTCCTATCACTACACACCCTTGTAAAAAGTCTCTCTCCACCTTTCCTGTAGGCCCCCTTTAGGTACTGGAAAGCTGCTATAAGATCACCCCGGAGCCTTCTCTTCTCCAGGCTGAACAGCCCCAACTCTCTCAGCCTGTCTTGATAGCAGAGGTTCTCCAGCCCTCTGATCATCTTCGTGGCCCTCCTCTGGACTCGTTCCAGTAGCTCTATGTCCTTCTTGTGTTGGGGACTCCAGAGCTGAACACAGTATTCCAGGTGGGGTCTCACGAGAGTTGAGTAGAGGGGCAGAATCACCTCCCTCGACCTGTTTTTCTCTAGAGAACTGTATCAGAAATATCAATGGGCAATATATGAAGCACAGAAGGTATAATATCTTGCATTGTTTCCCCTCTATATTAATAATAGAGTGGAGTACAGCTCCATCCCAACTTGAGTTGTCATGCGGAAGTCAGAAGATCTTTCAGAACTCTCCACAGATTTAGGTTGCCTTGCAAGAAAATATTTATGATTGCATATTATTTCATTCATTCAGAAGAGTTCCAGTTATTTAGAATGTTGTTATGGAGAGAAATGTGATTCTGTCAAAGTAAGATAGGATAGGATAGGATAGGATAAGTTCAGTTTGAAGAGACCTACAATGATCATCCAGTCCAACTGCCTGGTCACTTCAGGGCTGACCAAAAGTTAAAGCATGTTATTAAGGGCATTGTCTAAATGCCTCTTAAATACTGTCAGGCATGGGACATCCAAAGAAGATTATCTAAAAATTTCTTCAGTGATTTCCATGTTATTTTTATTCAGAAGTTTTTATAGCATTCCATGGCCGCCAACACTGCAGCCTGTGAAAAGTTAACAAAAAAATAAGTATTGGATTCATAAAATGGAGTAACACACCTCGTATTTTCTCTCTGTTATTGCTAGCCATGAAGATGAAAAATGGAAAGGTTTTTAGATTAAGAAACTAACATAATTTGAATTCTTTTTCTGCCTAATAGAAAGTAAAAATGTAAACAAGAAAAAAATAGTAAAAATTGAAATAGAAAGTACTTTTTAAATAGGTCGTGAAATTAATAGGCCTAATGTTTTTTAGGTGGTGAGGTTTTTCCCCAATCCTGCAATGAAAGCTACAGTGAAACTGCCATAAACTGGCAGTTCTAGTGTGTACATGCTCTTGCACAGTTGCGCTGCATGAGACGGTAGCTTGTGAAGGAAGGTAGGGAAGAAGTAGGTAGGTGTGGGAGGGAAGCAGGTTGTGGAGGGTTATGCTATAATTGAGAAAATAATCAGATTGAATATTGTCCTTGCCAGACTTAATTGCTTTTAGAAATGGTGATTCTCAGAAAGTCTATTAGAAAGCTGAAAACTTTTCCTTCAATCCTTCCCTCGTCTTCTAGGCTTTCTTGAGTGCTAATTGGGATGACTGCCTTGCTATTTCTCATTTTAGAGGAAGGCGTTACTTCTTGTATTTCTTCAATTCAAAGACATCTTTCACCATCCCCATTGTAGAAAGGATATTTCTAAACTTTTAGAATAAGTTGAACCTACCTGAATTCTGCCATCTAAGAACTGCAGGGAATAGGAAACCAACATACGGCTTTCCTTGTACTAATTTTACTTTCCTATTTGTGAAACCTCCAAACTTTACTGCAATTAAATGTCAATAATTAACTTGCTCTACTGAAGTTGCATAGTGTAATGGCTGGCTAGATTGAGTTTTCTAAGATTTACACATAACATGCTTATGCCATTTTCTAGTTGAATAATTTTTAAAAGAGCAATTTTTATCCCAAAAGAAATAGTCCGCAATCTAGTTTACAAATTCATACACTCACATCTTGATTGCTGCAACCACTTCTGACTTCTTACAAGAAGCACAAAAGAACTAGGAAACATACAAAAAAAAAATACAGCAGGAACAATCAGAAATATGGAATGATTTGCATATATATGCAAAGGAGCTAAATGATATTTCAGCTCAAAAAAAAAGAGATGACTGAGAGAATACAGAATGCTGATTCATGTTTCTCAGAATACAAAAGCTTGGAGGGCATTGTCTGAAGTACTGTAATAGAATCATAGAATCATAGAATGGTTAGGGCTGGAAGGGACCTACAAAGGTCATCTAGTCCAACCCCCCTGCAAGGAACAGGGATATCTCCAACTAGATCAGGTTGCTCAGGGCCTCGTCCAACCTGGCCTTGAACGTCTCCAGGGATGGAGCATCCACCACCTCTCTGGGCAACCTGTTCCAGTGTTCTACAACTCTCATGGTAAAAAATTTTTCCTAATATCCAATCTGAATCTACCTCCCTCTATTTTAAAACCATTACCCCTTGTCCTATCGCAACTGGCCCTCCTGAACAGCCTCTCCCCATCTTTCTTGTAGGCCCCCTTGAGGTACTGGAAGACCGCTATAAGGTCACCCCGGAGCCTCCTCTTCTCCAGGCTGAACAGCCCCAACTCTTTCAGCCTGTCCTCATAGGAAAGGTGCTCCAGCCCTCTTATCATCTTCGTGGCTCTCCTCTGGACCCTCTCCAACTGGTCCATGTCCTTCTTATGTTGGAGACTCCAGAACTGGACGCAATACTCCAAGTGAGGTCTCACAAGGACAGAGTAGAGGGGGAGAATCACCTCCCTCGACCTGCTGGCCACGCTCCTCTTGATGTAGCCCAGGATGCGTTTGGCCTTCTGGGCCGCAAGAGCACATTGCCGGCTCATATTGAGCTTCTCGTCCACCAGTACTCCCAAGTCCTTCTCCTCAGGGCTGCTCTCGATCCATTCTCCGCCCAGTCTGTATTTGTGCCTGGGATATAAAACAGAGGGAAATATATTCCACACAATGCAAAATTAAAGTGCAGAACTTACTGACGCAGAGTGCTATAGAGGCCAAGAGAATACTCTGACTGAAAAAGATATTATATGAGTTTGTGGAGAATGGGTTGATTAATGACTTATGGTGAACAGGATGGGTTAGGACCTGTGCCTGCTGAAAGTTAGAAGAGTGCAATGCAGAAAACTTTTCCTATACAAATCTTGTAAACGCACTCTTTCTGCTAAAGAAAGTCTCCTGTTGGGTAGACAGATGTTAGACAGCATGATAAACAGTATTTCTTCTGATTCAAATAATTTCTAGAATTTCTTTAAGCTGAAAACTTTTCGGTTTTGTAAAAAATGCTCTTAGCACTCGTTCTCCCAGTTTTCTTTTGGGAAAGGAGGGTAGGGATCCTCCTGGGCCAGTCACCCAGATAGAACATTAATCCTGCTTCGTCCTGAGTTTCTTTAGGTTTACTGCCAGGTTTTACTGGTATTTTTGACTGTAAGTTTTTCAGAATAAATCATCCTGTGGTAAGATTCATCTTGCACATGATTGAAGGTTTGGTGACAATTACATTAAATCTTCTACCTACTAGTTACCTGTTTTTAGATGGCCGGAGAATTAGAACAGACACACCATCTTGCTGAAGAACAGGGAATTTTCACGTTTAAAACAAGTAAATGAATAATTATCGTTCACATGCCAGTACTTAATCCTGAGTCAGCAATCAAATTCTGTTTGAAAGATGCCACAGAAGACACAAGTAAAATTAAGCTAAACACAAACTGGCATATACGTTTGGACTACGTGACCTACATTTTGGCTCTAGTTGTGGATGCGGAATCTGCTTTTGCCAACTAAGCTCTAGCTATTTTGACAGGTGTATTCTTATAGAGCATTTAATAGCTTGCTTCCTCTGAAGGACACATTATATGTGTGAAGCTGCCTGTTCTCATAATGCTTACCGATGACCTAAAAAAATATTACATCCGTTTAATATTATTGCTCCTTTTTTTTTCTGATGTTCAAAGACTCTGGGGAGGGATGGTGCCTTGCATATGAAAACTCAGAAGATCAACAGTGTGATGCCAGTTTGTATATGGAGTGAATACATATAGACATGAAGTATATGAAAAATATTTCAAAAAAGCAATGTTGTGGAGCTATATTGCAACATTTCATTGGATATTACATTAAACATTTAGATGAAAATCATTGGTATGCTGAAACATTTTCAATAATAGAGCCTCAGTAATTTCTGTTATATGCTTATATTAATGCTTCATTGTCTAGTATGAAATTCTTATATTTATTTAAGTATTGTTGGCTGAGGTTAGTTGAAAATAAATGACACATTTCTGATTTTCAATTTTTTTTTGGCAGGGTCCAAAAGAATCAGCGACAGTGAAGTCTCTGATTATGACTGTGATGATGGAATTGGTGTTGTTTCAGGTATTACTGTCTAAATTTACTCTTCTAGGTTCAG